CGCTGCACAGTAGAGCGTCCGCACGGGCGAAAGCGAACCTTAAGCCATCGTCGAATCTGCTTTCCCTGCATGGTGTCCTTGTTGAACTCCATCTGCTTGGCGCCGCAGTTGGGGCAGAACCGCTGGCCAATGCGAGTGCACGGGTGTGAGTGGTAAGTGCGGGGGGGGGGAGGGCCATTTCGCAAGGGTTGAATGAACAGCAGGGTTCTGGGTACAGCATGCTGCTTGCAGGGAGGGCTCAGTCACACCAGTCCACACACTAACTACACAAGTGGACAGACGTACTATCACACGCACGCACACGCACGCACACGCACGCACACACAGTGTCTCTCACACGCACGCACACACACACCCACACACACAAACGCAAACACAAACACACAAACGTACACACACACACACACACACACAAACACACAAACACGCATTCATGCACTCACAGCCTTGGGGTGGAGCTCAAAGTTGCAGTTGAAACAAGGGTGTTTGGCGTTTGGTGCAGTCGGGAGGTGGTCACTGGAGACGGAACCAGAGAAGTTAGTTTGTGATTGGCGTTTGTGCTGCAGCTGCTCCTGCTGTATGGTTTCCAGCTGGTGCGCGTCGAAGTTTGATGTGCGCGAGGACTTGCGGGACATGACCCTGGAGATGGTGGCTTCGTCGTGGTCCAGGCCTTGGCGCGCTTGCCAGACGAGATAGTACAGGACAAGCGGGGTGATGATGATGTTGATGGCGAGAGATGCCCACCGCAGGCTGCTCAGCTCGTCAATCAGGCTGGATGTCTTGTCGTAGCCAAATGTGTAGTCGCATTGGCCACCGCTGCGGGAATCCAAGGTGACGACATGGCGGATGTTGCAGGAGGAGCCGCCCTCGTTGAGCGCAAAGGTGTCGCAGAGGGTTGTGTTGGACAGAGGGGTGACGCACGGGTCTCCCGACGTGCATGAGCATGTACACATCAGGTCTGATTGGTTGCCGAGGAAGATGGGGTTGAAGTCATCGTTGAACTCTGAATAGGACCCTTGCATGGTCCGAAACAAGTTCCAGTCTGTGGCCACATCAAACAGGTACATGCACACCACAATCTGTTGTGGAAAGGAAGGGCGGGATTGGGTTGCAGAGTGGGCGTGAGAGAAAGCAGACCGAGGGCAAAGGAAGGGGAGATGGGGGGGGGAGATCACGTGTGTGGTTGTATGTGTGTGTGCGTGTGTGTTTCAGTGTTCTTCGTGTGAGTCAACATGCCTGTTCCTGCCTCCCTCGTCTTTGAGCTTGTTAACGAGGCACATCTAACATACACGTACACACATACACACGCAAACGCACGCACGCACACACACACAACGCACACATGCACACACACACAAACCAAAGCAAAACCACCACACACCCTCTCCTAGACTCCTGCTCACCGTGAACTGTGCCACCCGAAGGAAGTGTGGAGGCGCCATCCTTTTCCCTCAGAAGCGTGCGTTGGCACGTTCCACGATACCGCAACAGTCAAACACAAACAACAGACTCCACAACAGACAACGGACGGGTCCGTGGAACAAGGTGACAAGTCGTGAAGAAGGTGGGTGTTGTCGTTGGCCTGTGCTCCTTGTTGCTTTTTTACTTGGCTGCTGAGTGGACACGACTGAATTCAGGGTCTGTAGACTTGCCTGCGTTCAAATTTCGCGCCACGGTTCTTTGTTGTTCGCCACCCTCAATTCACTCGCCCAGTCTCGCGTAAGCAACTTCCCATTGTTTCGCTGCGCACCCACGCCTGTTGCTGCGCGACCCTACCTTCGCACACGAGCAACCGAGCCTTGCGGCCCAGCAACCGCACCAACCAAATCACAGTTGCACCAAGAGGCGGTGGGCGAGTCAAGTGTGCGGTGTGTGAAGAAGGCAAACTGCGCCACCCCCAGTGATCGGCGACCACACACACACCCCACCACATCAAGCAACGAGACTCGCAAGCAGCTCTTGTTGCCTGCCACAAGGTCCAATACAAGTGATACAAGCGATCCCCCCCCCCCACACACACACACACGCACACAGGGTGGATACACAGACACACACACACACACACACACAGCCACGCAAACAAAACACACAACCAAACGGTGCGCGTGAGTGTGTGAGTGTGAGTGTGAGTGTGTGATCGGCCCCCACAGCACTCGCTGCACCACGTCCCTGATAAAACACAAGTAAGAAAGGTGTGGTGCGTGCAGTTGTGTGAATCTGTGTGTGTGTGTGTGTGCAGTTGCGTGATATGCAGTGCCGAATGTTTGATTGTCGTGGTGCTTGCTACATTTGACATGCGCGATGTGACAGACGTTGTCGTTGACTCGCCTACTTGCTGTCTTGCTTACTTGCCGCCCTACTTCTTTCTTCCTTGCCTGCTTGCTTGACCGTTGCTTTGACCGTCGTGGTTTGACCGTTGATTCACCCCAGCCAGCAGTTGTACTCACAGCCAAAGCACAC